CGGCTCGTGACTGTATATTTACATGGTATGGCCAACTTGCCAAGAATGTGAGAAAACACAAAAGAACTCCCCGAGATGCCACCAATTTGGTTTGCCGGCACCTGTATATATGTTTGTAACTCCAACCTCTCAACTCTCCCCGACACTCCAATTCCCCCCAGTTCAACAAGAATCCAACAGAAAAAGTAACAAGAAGCTACCAGTAGCAAAGGGCATCGCTACGAACGGAGCGATCGGACGCTACGAACGGGGCTCCTGGCCTTACTACTAGGAGCAAGAACGCTACTAGAAACAAGAAGCTACTAGTATCAAGTGCATCGCTAGTAGTAACAAGTGCCTTACTACTAGAAACAAGAAGCTACTAGTATCAATGTCTTCTTCCTCCGACCTTGGGACGGACCTTCCCTTGACAACACCGCCCTCCGGGTCGCCTCGGAGGTGTCCGGCAGCACCGAAGTGTCCGGCAGGGCCTGCGGTGACTTCCGAGGGCGTCTGATGTCTCCGGGTGACGTTTCACATCATCCACAGGTGAACATCCAGACATCAGCCGCTTGAAGTGGTACTTGAACACCCAGCATCCAATCCATCCAATCCGTTTGACGATACAAAGGCACGAAAAGTTGCAAGTGGGGAGGTGGTGCTGGTCTAGGGGGTCTATAGGATCTATTCGGTCTATATTGTAGTTTGGATAAGTCCCGGCCCGTACCCCACAACCTGCACGCGATGATGATAGCAGGGACATACGGGGATCAGGTTCCGAAAATTACAGTAAGTACACGGTTATAGGTGGTTTTGGAATGCTTTAGACTTCAGTGACTTAAATATTGAGTGATCATGGGGCTGAGTTGCATCGAACGTCTAGGGGCAAGCTAAGCATCATCTATATAGTTTGGGGCTGATGGGAACCGGGATGAATTGACTCATGGGACCTCTCAAACTACCTGTACCAAGGGAATCCTCTATTTGTAAGAGCTAGCAACCCCAAAATCCAGGATCAACCCTGCTGTTAGTCTTCCTGCAGCAAAGTAGCGCAACCTGGTGAAGGGAAGGGAAGATCAATAGCCCTAAAAAAAGCCCAACGGGACTCCAGCAATCCTCCCCTTGGATCAAACCGTGTCACCATCTCACGCCCTAAAACCAACCCGTGTGGGTGGACCGGCCGGCAAGGAGGTTTGCGGGTACAGATTGCTTGGTTTATCTTGGTTTCATGATTCCTGTAGAAGATGCGTGAAGCAAGGACGATACTAGTAGGGCCTAGCGTTACTACTAGGAACAAAAAGCTACTAGTAACAAGGGCATCGCTACTAGGAACAAAAAACTACTAGAGATGCAAAAGAGACTTCTCGAGACTGTCCGTGTCATGGCGGGACTGTCTCTTCAAGCTGCTCTCGCCGTTGGCTGTTGCAGTACTGGTTGTCAGTCGTCCACTTAATCATCTTAATCAGCACCTGAAAACAATGGTGTTTTGACCGTGCACCGACAACAAGCTACTGACCATGCACCGAAGACAGTGGGTTGGTATTTGGCTTGGCACCACCGTACACCAAGCTGTCTCCAATGACGGTTGAAAGACCCAACCTCATCATCAACCGAATCGTTACTACTCATGTGAGGGTGGCTCAAAATAAACTGAGCTCCCAAAAGAACATGCATGTTTAATTGTTTGGACGAAAACACAAATCCACCAGGGATGATGTTCAGGTGTCACAGGAGTTCGTCAGATGCAATCCCGGATCTCAACAAACACAGAACCCGTCCGGCTGGGCGACAAGCCTCTCCTGCCTCGATCTTGAAAAACATCCACAAGAACAAGGGCTCTGATCCATGTTGAATAGGACACCGCAATGGGGTGGTAAAACCAAAGACAACTATGGGGTCTTTGAAACGTCACTTGTTCTGATCCATGTTGAATGGACATAACACAACAACCTCGCTGTTCCTCCTGTCTGTTCCTCCCCGCCATCCTAAAACAAACACATAATCGAACTGATTCAATAAATTAGAGATAATTAGAAGGTGTTTTTCCTGTTTCTCTGAACCAGGTCCATTTCTAACCAATCCATGGGACCACATCGGCCCAATGGTGAGCTGCGACCAATCGCTTCTCCTAGGCACTTGTGAAACATCTTCATGAGGGAGAGATTCTAAAACGACGTGATGCATGGTCAAGCTTGTGGTGGTTTGTAGGTCGAGGTTCTGTAGAACATTGATTGATAACCCCCGCAGATGAAAAGGCTTTACAATCCAAATGGGGAATGTTATCAATCAAGATTCTACATGAGCTCAATCTATATTGGATTGATTGATAACATCCCCCAAAGTAAATTGGATCTATATTGGATTTAGCTCAGCCTCCCGGCCTCCAGCACTTGATCCCGAAAGATCTTCCAATTCTCGTCCAGCACGGTGGCAAAGGCTTCCCGATGTGCCATGGCACTGGTGGAGGGAAGAACGTCGAGGTTCGAGGTTCGACTTCGAAACCGCAATGGTGAACTCAGTGGCCGGCTCGACAAAGAGTAAAGACACTGTCTATGTATGTATGTCTAAATGTATTATCATATTCCATTAACTCTAGAATATTCTAGAGGTATTGTTGTTTGCGGTTTATGCCAAAGGCGGCTTGCTTCTCTGAAAGCACTGATATCCAGCGGCCTGGCTGATCCCCTTGATTTTTTGTTGCTGTCCAGCGGGCCGGTGCGGGCCGGTGGCCGAGCTTGCCTTTTTGTGGCCGGTGGCCGAGGTTGCATACAGTTTGTGCCAATGGCTCTTATCAAAGTCCTTTTGATCTATCAAGCAAAATGAACATCGTTCACATCTCAGAAAAGTGGAATGCATTCCTGAAAACACCCCTCAATCAACTGGGCACCCGCTTTTACCCTATTGAACGTTCTGTCTCGGAAAAATCTTGGGCCGACAGAGCACAGTGAGGCCAGTTTACTTGAAAGAAAAGGGGTGCAAATTCTTGCCCCCGCCTAAACATTTCATGCACTCGATGCCGAAAGAATTTACATTTGCTGCTACTTACTTGATGCAGTTAGTTTCACCGGTGTGTGTGCAAGAGCCTATGCTCCAATCACATGTTCTTGTAGAGCACCACCTGCTTGCAATGGAATATCTTTCAAGAGGCGACATCATCCACTTCATGCTTGTTGGATGGAACATCTTGACGTCATTCATGCTGTGGCACACCACTCATGCACTCCCAAAATATATCACGCATGAACAAATCCGATGAAACTGTTCAGTGTCAAGTTCGATGTCCGTTGCGTTTCTCTGCGTGAGTTCGGACCTGTCCATGGTACGAAACTGAGACGATCAGCGGCACCCAGGGGGTGGTTAAAGATGCCCCCCCTGACGATGTATGTTCCATGCAACAAGCATCTTTTGGGTGGTTCTGGTACAGGTTTGAGTGAGTCTTGCTTGAATGGTCTTCCAGCTTTGGCAGCGTTGAGATGTTCCAACAACTCTCAACAAAACTACATCTGGCTATCACAACTTGTGTTCAAACAGGAAGCATCTCGCACATCTCTGGATTTTCACACCTTCAGCATGCTGATGATTTGGCCCTTGACCTATAGACCTTGCTCTGGCGAGAAAGGAGGTCGTCCAGGCGTGCCACGCAGTGACAAAGGCCGGTGAAGATGGATTCGATCGGGTCGTATTCTCGTTACACTACCGCGTCCCGTTCAGAGTGCTTCAGACTGGTTGGGTATCTTTCGAGTTGTATGTGGAGTTTCCAGCTTGTACCCCACAAAATAAACATGACAGGGCCTGAGTAGAAGTTATGTCCCCATGTTGGATAGGCACTGAGACTCCAGGAAGAATTACATATTTTCTGGCACTTAGCCCAAATGTTCCTTGTAGGTCTCCACTTGTCCGAAATACAGGAAAACTAGTGACTCTTCACAAACAATAGGTTAATTTTGCTTGCCGCTTGCATTCAGATTCAAATAACAACAAAATTGCAAGTCATGAATGAGCTGTGAACTCCACCTCTGCATCAATGAGGGCCGCTGGATTCCGTTCAGGCCTTTCAATTTGGGTAACACATAATGATGCATTTGATGATAGTCTTGCCTTCTGATTCCATAAGATTGATGAGCACAACGTCTATCTTCTAGTTTGCGTATGTTTGCTTTGGAAACACAATGCTGCGACAAGGCGTCTATTCTGTTCTATCTCTTGGAGAGTGTTTCTCGAGGGGTGAAACCAAAGGTGCAATGAACACATCCAGATCTTATCACAGTCTCCAAATCTTTCTAGCTTGAAGGCTTCTTGGCAAACATTTTTCTAAAATGCAAGATGCCTGCCTGACACAAGTGGAAACACATGATCCATGTACCAGCTGTGCAGTAGATTTGTGTGTTCATATGCAATTGAATAAGAATGTCATGTCATATGAATTGTTTCCAAGATTCGTACCTTGTACAAAAAAAAATAAATACACCAGTAGTGTTGGACATCAAGTATTGGATTTCAGAACATGCTCGATCTGTCATCTTTCCGGATCTGCGGGCTTTACGGCACGCCGATGAAAGTGTTGTGCCTCTTACATCCACTTTAGACGAGGCAGTTCTCCATGAACTTGCCATAGGTCCCCCAAGTGTGAACCAGAGGACGACATGAAATCTTTAAAGCGACTATGGCAAGTTGCCAGTGTCGTCCCTTTAGGAGCAACACAGCTTGCGATGGAGCACATCTGTCGCAACCTGGGATCATTCTCCTGTCTCTATGTCAACCACCTATAGAATGGGTCTATGGATGTCTATGGTATTCTTTTGGCCGAGCAGTGTCGCGCAGATTTCAGGGCTGTCAAGAACAGCATTCTCAACTGGAGGGAAACCAAAGAAACATCGCTATCTCGCCCGACTACTCACAGTTCTGGACTCAAACCTCCGACACAACAGTCGTTGACCTCTTTCACAAGCTTGACACACACACACAGTCGAAGTGCTTCATGTCTGGCTCAGTACGGTGATCCGTACCGGATGTTTTCTTCACGGTGGATCCCATTGAAGACTTCACTCCGACATGCGCTCCACTCGAGTCACAACTCACCCCGAGAGCTCCTGGAGACAAAAGCAACCGTCTGGTCGTGAGCCAACCGCCCGCGATTCCATGCAAATACCGCGTCCCGTCGCGACGACCGAAAACAAGCTTGCTCTCAGTGACATGTGTGTTTTGCTGAGAGGGGGAAGTGACGGCGGCATTCGACCGAAGTTTCTTTGTTGAAGTGTTGATCCCCGAAACTCAGCACTTCCTCAGACACATGGTGGATCATGGTGAATCCAAATACAATGCAAAGGTTGGGTCACATGGTTCTCCATGGGTGAAGTGCTGCTGCATCGCTGATGCTCTGATGCTCCAATTATGGGTGACTGATGGTGTCTGAGTCATTGTAGGTTGTAACAAGTAGCCGCATCCATCCCAAACACAAGCAAAGAGGAGTCCACTTCGAGCGACTTCGAGTCTCCAACTGATAGCCTTGTCACAAAGACGTGGTCACAGAAACTGCTCGGTTTAACCTCACCATACCTGAAAAAAACCATCGTCTGCCGTACAAAAACACATGCAGAATCACCGTACCCGTAAAGGGAAACAAAAGCAAACGACACCCGTCCGATGTTGAGGCTGGAGGATCTTCAACACGGTGTGCCGAAACTGGGCTTCATCTTCTTTCAGCTCCTGCGAGATCGCAGGTGCCGAGGGGAGCGGAGGCGTAGCTCTGGTGGAGTGGCAGTGGGCAAAAGACCGTGAGGTGGAAAGGAACAAAACGAAGGTGATGTTTAGGGAGAGCTCGAGTTTGCAGGGATTGAATCACAATATATTCGTGAAGAATCAACGATCCATCCAATGTTTGTAGTAAATTGGTCAATTTGCAAATAGTTTGTCCCATTTACATGCACCCGGCTTCCATCTTTGTACAACCTACACCTCTCATGGGCTTCAAACTGCACCTCCTCTGGCGCTCCCTAAGCTTAGTGGAAGAATGCCTAAGCTCCTCAGCGTAAAGAAATGGACATCTTAGCTGGCACAAAGCTGGCACCAACTGTGCCTTCTCGATCCCATGAATGCCCCATGAACAAACTGCCCACAGAAGTTTTGTGATGAGTGATCCTTCTCCATCCGGCTCCGCCTGCCGGCCTTCCCCCCCGTGGAATCAAAGCCACCGCAATCAAATCCACCAAGCCACCCGGAACATCCGGTCATGCGACCTTCGGGTCGAAAGAAACCACACGAAACCACCCTCTCGTGAACTCGGGTCGAGTCTCCAGGACCATGTTCTGAATGGCTTTCGTGGCCAGCAGCGTAGCCACCGCGTCGCTCTTCTTCACCTCGCCGCGGATCTTCAGCAGGCCCTGTGCACGGGCCCGGTAGCGGAAGCTCTACGAGAAGGAAGTTGAGAAGCTGGGAATGGTGGCACCGGGCAAGGGGTTGAACCGAAGAATTGTCTAGAAGTCATGGACAAAACACTTAATGGACGAATGAAAATTGCCCTGCTTCTTGGATGACCTTCACGGTCTGATCTGAAGCTTGCACATTCTGTTTCACACGTGTCGCAGCACACGGGGCAAGTTCATACATTGTTCATAATTATATAACATTCCTAAAAATGTGAACCATCTGCAAGCCTTTGTCATGTTCAAGATGATGATTGTCTTTCAGAAATCAAGCCAATGGCATGACAAATAAACAAGAGACTGAAATTTGCCTGGAATGCCTGGGTATGGCTCCACTTAATTCAACTGGTAAAGATAGTGTATACACAATATACCACAATATGTATAGACCCCAAACACTTCCCAAGTCTCTTTAGGAAGAATAATGAAACACGTGTCAGTATACAGGACGCCCTAAATCTACGCAGTGGGGGGTAGTCCAAACAGGCGATAATTTCCATGTTTTCTGGCAACCGTCGAAATCTTCACCGCTCGCCTGCACCAATTCGGTCACATGCAGCGTGCCGCTGCCGTCGGCATCAATGATCTGACAGGGCCAGGTGAGGACAGGGGTAGCTAGGGCCAAGTCGAACCAAGGGGTAAAGACAGGGTCACACAAAAGAACAAAACAACCTGAAGGTGGCCATGTGTTGGTGTGGAAGTTCAAGAGGCCTCCTTCAGCTTCCATGATGAGAGGGGGTCGGAGGGAGGGTGTCTCAATAGAATATTATACAGTACAAGGATTACACTCCCTGAAATAATCATGGAAGCACAAACAGGTAGTTATCACTCCACTTCCATGATATCAGGGAGAGTTACTATTCTTTTGAGGCATCTGGTAGGTGTGTGTTGTGTTTTCTGTTTCAAGGTTTGCGTGGGCTTGAAAAAGTGCATGCTCTTCAATATGCATGTTCTTCAAGGAGACATCTGCAATGTATATATATATATATATACACATGGCGTGCACACAAGTGTGCGACGGATTACATCATAAGAAGCCGATCAAACTCACGGGAAGCAGGAACAGGGGAACAGAAAAGACCCTGATGGATTCAAGGTCATGAACCCTAGGGGCTCCAAGTTAAGTTTGGATGACAAGATGTTGAAGTGTGTGAGCCGAAAAGAAAACATGCTTCTCCGAATCGGCTTGTCCTCCATTTTGAGGTCTAGCCGTCTAGCCAAAGAAACCAGCACAGTATAGCGATCAGCTGTGAAAGTCAACCCGACCTCGATCCTCCAAGTATTGAGATTCAGTCGTCCGCCCACTCCCTCCCGTCTTCCGCCCGAAACACGTGTCGACGTGTCGAGGTGTCGCACCTCGAAGAGGTTCGCACGGTCGTGCGGGAGTTCTAACTCATCCTCACACGAAGAAGGACGCTATGCTCGGTGGAGGCCGCAAGTAGGAGGCCATCGCACCTAGAAACAAAGAAGCTACTATTAACTTAAGGTCTCGTATTGTCATGTTACATGCTTGTCATGTGTTTTTGCCGAGCCATGCGGCGAAGTAGACATGGGGCCCCACGGCGAAACTGCGGGGGTGGATGAGGTAGACATCACCCGCGGGTGTTGCTCAGGTTCCAACTATTGTTGTTTGTGATTCCTCATGGTTCTTTCTTTGAAGACATTTTGTATCCTTTTGTGGGTGACTCTGTGCTACACATTCAACCATATTCTCCGTTCCCATTCTCGTTTGGCTCGTTTTCCCAAGACCGAACATGAACGGCTCGGTTCTGTGTTGCTTCGTCTCCGCACCAGGGTTTGTGGGCATTTCTATGCGGACCTGCCATTGCACAAGTATTTCCAAAACGATCGTTAAAGGATAACGGTTGAACATAACATGATATTTAAGTTTTGAACTAATATATATATATAATTTTACATTGTAATAACCTTGAACTGATACTATAATGATATTGGATAGATTTGGATAGTATATGATATCAATATCCTTGAACCAATTGTGCACTTGTTCTTTGATTGGTGTGCTGGCCAGAGGTTGAGATTCAGGTGGATAACATGGATGTGGGACATGGCAAGTGAATCGGTCTAGGCCGAGAACAGAATTCTGGAATCCGGGGGCAGTGGTATTCACTTTGTGCTTTGGGATGCTTTGGTGTATATAATATATGGAATATAATATACATATGATTACATATGTAATGTTCGACCCACTGACAAGTAGCGGGTCGTTGGTGATCACCAGTTTGGGACTCCCAAAAAAACACCTTTCTGGGACTGTGAACGAAACTGCGCTTCATCTCAGAAAACGACGAGCCAGCAAGCAAGAGAACTGCACCTCGAGAAAGAAAAGCATGCACATCTTAAACACTCCACGAACCCCTGACTTTCAGAATCGCATCGAATCCCGTAGATTCATCCCCACACATGACCCATGGGACGGACCAAGACAACCGATCAGCTGGGGTGTCAAACCAATGGCGTAGGTCAATCTTCGAGTCAAAACCGGTTAAAACCAGGTAGGCCAAGTCTCCATCAAGAATTGCACCGACTGATCCTGGATGATGAGCAAGAACAGTTCCTTTGTGATCGCCTTGCTTCGACAAATGTGAAAATCGCAGTCTTCAACCGCCGATTCCGTTGGGTCCGTTTGGGAGTCATAATACGTGTACATGCACCATACACGCCCTCATTGTTGCTTACATGTTGTTTTTTTTCCCGAGGATCGTGTGTACGTATATACACATAATCATGCATACACGGGAAACATTTATCATATTTGGTGTCAATCTCTCATGCATCCTATGCAACAGGAGAGTCCTTCGAGGACCACATTCATGCAAACACCTGTTGAATCTGCAAAATCTGCCACGCTCAAGCCAAACCCACACAAGTTCAAAAAACTAACGAACGCACAACAAACATGTCCTTGTTGGTGATGGATGCATTCTTAAGTTTCTTTTTTTTTTTCACCGTTCGCTGATTCAAGAATCCGATACAAAGCTGCTCCTGGTGTGAATTTCAGGACTCAGGACCACCGGCAGAGAGAGAGAGAGAGAGACAAAGAGTCCATGTCAGGTGGGAACCCAAGTCTTCACATCCTTCGAGGCACGATGTGCTCATGGATGTCTTCATCCGTGAAGCTGCTCTCCTTAGTCATCTCAAGACACCGCCAGGACACCGCGACAGGCCTGGAAGTGGGCGGAAACAACATGAAGAGATTTGCGAGCTTTCGGAATGGTCTACCATGGACCAACCGCTTGCAACCAGCTTTGACCACTTCCTAGCTGGATAGATATATAATATATATATATACTGTATATAAACCTTTTTTTGCGTTATTCCAGTCCGAGCGAACCTTTTAAAGTCAACTTGGCTGGGGAAAGCAAGACCCATGGTCCATGGTTATATAGTCCTAGCCTAGCCATGCACAAGCTTTCCCTAACACATCGCCTAACCAGGCATTTTACACGCTGGTTGTACTGGGAGGCTCGGGTAAACTCACAAAGAATGATGCCCACAAATAGATGGGGGCGGATGAAGCAACGTATGGATATGGACTTGTTAGCATATCTAACGAAGTCTATCCGGAACTCAAAGGCACGTCATCTTCCCAGCTCCGGGCCACACTTCTTTCCGCCCGGGTCTGGGTCTGCCAAGAAAACTGGGAAACATAGACCTCATTTTCCACCAAGGTGATCCGGAAAGCCAAACACTCAAACCATACACACAACCATTACACTCCGGTTAACTGACCAAGCAATCAACTGTTTTGTGACTATCGATGCGCGTTACAAGGTCGGAGCCAAACGTGGCATTAAAAAAAAGACCAAGCAATCAAAGCCCATTCTCAGATGATGAAGCTATGGACAACTATTTATGGTCGAATCTGTGTGTAGTCCACACAAGGGAAGGTGGAGTCCATACAACCCTCAAGAGGTGAGTGGAACAATCTCTTCCAAATGTTGGTTCATTGATATGGTGTCTCTGCATCGAACAAGCAAATCCATCTCCACCATCTTTTTTTCAACCGGTGCAGTCCACCCAACCCACATGGAAGTTTCCATGATAATGGCCCGTAATGTAGACTCTTGATAGATAAAACCTTCAAAGGATGTCCAATTCAAAAGAGGGTGGTTTATTAGTCAAGAGTCTACAACAAAAAAACAATTCTTCACCCAACCTTCGTGAATTCAGTGCGTTCGGTGCCAAGCCGCCATGGGTTTGAAGTCAATACGGGTACTGCGGCTTTGAGCCTTGGTCGAAATCGACGGATGCCATGGGCCTATAGAAGGACTGGGGGAACATCATGTGTGAAACCTGGGTGAGACACTGAACAAATAGGCCAAGAAGGACAAACTGTGTATATGTGTGCATGTTTGGTGGGTTCTCAGCATGGAGAATTTCTTTGAACAAGTCCCAAAGAAATAGATATGGACGTGACATTCACTGGGTGAAATTGGATTCGGAATGTACCAGCCGTTCTGGTCAACCAGTAAGAATCTCATGGTCCAGGTACTTCACAGCAACTCGTGCGGCTTGGTAGTCCAGTGTCGGCCCTTTGTCTCGGTGATGGTCCTGGTGGTGAAGGAGCCCTTGACCACAGAGGATTCAAGGAATATATGCACGCCAAGTTAGCAACGAATATATTTATGTATGTAATACATATATATATACTTCAAGAACCCTAAAGTGTACGCTTCTTACTCTGTTCCAACATGACACTTGCGGTCTACAGCGGATCGGATTGACACGTCCATTTTGCCTGGCAGGTACAGCACGGTCAGATTTCCACACCCGTTTAGATTTATAATACTTATAAGGCTTTCAGGTGTGGAAATCTGACCGCAACTTAGGCGTCGACATGTTGCACGTAGGATTCTAAGGGGAAAGGGTTTGTCCCGTTTTAGAAGTCAAGAAGCGCAACTTTCGCCACCCCAGTGTATATATGTATATGTAGTAAGGCACACAGTCGCAGTACTAACGTACGGCCCGTGAGCCAAAGGCTAACCGCCAGCACACAATTGACTCAACTCCCCTGAAATCCCAACTGGGCTGGGTCAAATGAAAAAGAACACATTATATATTATAATATATATATTATATATATATAAATTCATCGAGCAACAGCAATACCGTACCGTACCCATACAACATGATGATCTCTGAAACTACTGGCCAAATATTGGCCAAATTTATGTAGGTAGACAATGGTAGACATACTATGCGTGGATGTCGTCCGAGGCGCATGGTCGTCCATGTCCGAGAACATGCGATAGGCTGCAGCAAACTTCTTCAATAACTCGCCTTGGTAGCCAAGGACATGTATGATACGTTTCCAATACACAACCACCACCCACAAAAGCCCACTAGATGAGCAATATATCCCCGAAGAAACGTCTCTATTGACAGCCCCGTTTAGGTTAAGGGGTGTCGCATGGTGCCCATCAACCAGCCCTTGTGGGTCGTGGCATACATGAAAATGGAAGAAGTCCACGTTGTTGCTGCTTTCAAGATATCTTGGTCGATCAGGTTCTCTGATTGGATATCTTGACTGAGAAGGCTCCTTAGACTGGCAAATGTCAGGAGGTTTTCTACCATATTGAAACATCTGTGAAACATATACATATACATAATTTATAGCTCAACAAACTCAGGCTTTCATGCAAAACACATATTGGAGACCTCATGAACCAAGTAGTTGCGAACAAAGTGCAAAACATTTGCGACCCTAGGATCCACAAACCCTCTGGGAAAATGATGGGGGATGTGATATGATATGATGTGAGGTTGGTGGGGATCCAACTACCTTTTGAGGATTTGTATTTTAGTCAGTGCTAGCTGGCCCAAGAAATTGCCAGCAATGTGTTGCACACAAAACACTCTGATGTGCCTGACATGCTCCATGACACCCAAGCTGACCGCAGTACTCAAACTTACACATGCTTAAACTATGCCAAAAACCGCAGCAAAATATGCAAAATCCTAAAATGCGCACCCAGCCTGCCTCGCTATGCAGTGCACCCCCAATCCCTCCGGTCCCCCCCCCGAAATGCTGTGCATACCTGATCCCTTCGGGATAATTAATCCTCACGCTCCCACTGCCCTCCACGGCACGCGTGGTCCGAGCAATGCGGATGGACTCGCGACTGTGCTGCTCGGCTGTGACCGCTTCGCTCTCCTACCGACGGGAGGAGCGAGACGGGCGCGGTCGGCGAAGCGGTGAACAGGATTGTTCCGTCAATGGAAGAGGGAACCGGTGCGAGCAACGTTGCTCCGTTTCGTGTGCTGTAGTCTAGAGGAATGGAGATGATGTGTGCGTTTTTTTTGTGTTGTTGTCTTGATTGACAAAGAAAACAGGCTGTTTGCGCATGTTTGAGTGCATAAGAAGAGTGGTAGTCAATCCAAGCCTCAAACATCCTCAAACACTGACACCTTGGAGATTCTGCGGCGGACGGGGGTTCTTCACACATGCTTGCATGATCTTGCATGCTGCCGAAATCGGCCAAACCTCGAGTCAAGACTTCCAGATCAATTCATTCTGGAACGTTACAACCCCAGCAGCTGCAAAAGTTCTCTGGTTTGTCATTACTTTCCAGGAGATGATTCGAAGACCTGACCCTCACATGTCAATTAGCAACCTTTCCATGTTCATCCAGGCCAAGTGAAAGGCCGTTTCATCCAGTTCCAAGGTGACATGGTGCTGGCTTCCATCTCCTCAGCGAAAACTGTATACCAAGACTCAGACTCAGACTTGAATCATAAATCATTGGTCATGGATGAAGGACAGATTGTTGGAGACAAACCAGCTTGTTAGTATACAGTGAGCCCTTTCGGAATCAGAATCCCATCCCATCCAAACTCAAAGCCATCCATACCAATGCATGTGTCCTTAGCTGCTCGCATGGTGATGTCCACGTAGACCTGAGGCTTTCGCAACTCAAAGGTGCTGAAAAGTGTTAGGGTAAATGTAACAGCCGAGTCTGACCTCCTGTCCGCTACGAGCACGACCCTGTTGGAAAAGGTCGAAGATGTTGAGGAGTTTGCAGACTCGCAGGACTCTGATGGTCTCTGTAAAGGATGGTCTGTACTTTGATAGTTTCTTGGACTTTCTTCACGGCCGCCCAATGCTCAGCACCCAAGTTCAGCACAAAGGCAAACAGAGTTTTTTGTTCAAAGTGCTAGTTGTTCCAACGTACAATGGACAACGTCTCGCACCTGGACCTGGCTACGATGAGGACCTCAATACCATACACGTTCTCTCCAGATCAGGGATATAGGTGAACACGCCTATACTATTCATATATCTTTACAAGAGCTTACATCTGGAAGCATCTCCTTCCCTACAAAGATGCCTGCATGGTCTGAGAGGGAGTATTTATATAATATATATATATATATATGTCAATAGGGATGGGGTCCCAGTATAGTCGCTATACAGGTACATGCCATATACTTTTGGCTCAAGTGCCCAACCAGGTAAAAAGGAGCTTTAGCGCGCGAGCTTCATGTTGACCTAAGAGCTAGAACGGGGCCAGGGCACACCTTTCCATCCGTTCACAGGTTATCAGCCGTAGCCAGACTCCTTTGAGCTGGGTACGAGCTGCGGCCTTACACAACACCATCTAAACGCACACGCATCGGATAGATCAGTTACCCTCAGTCACTGAAGATGGACCAATCCGACGCCAGCACTGCATCTTTTGGAGCAGCTGCTGCGGCTGCAGATCGGATGAGTGCATCCCACAACTCTAGTCCAGGTACGATCGAAGCGGAGACTCTGACAGCGGTGAGAGAAGATGCGACAGGTAGAGCCCGAAGTCGTTCCCCGTCAGCGCACTCGACACCACCGTGGGGGACACCGAGATCAGGCCGTAGCCCTAGGGAGACAAGGAGGAGGACTGACACCGGAGCTGTGAGAGTGTTAGCATTGGAGGATGGGTCAGCTGTACCAGTGCCGTCGGACAGCGAAGCTGGAGATCGAGCAAGGGCAAGCACTGACAACCTACAACTAGCACGGGCCGATGGAGACCTGAATGCGAAGTGTGCGCAACTACTTGCCGAAGTGCATATGTTGAACCACCAAAACGCATGGATGGTCGAATGTGAGCAGAGACAGAACCAGATTATACAACACGAGACCGAAGTCCACGAAGTAGTGATGGCACACCTCGAAGAATGTTATGTCGAAGGATATGGAAATCAACGAAGAATCTCCCAACTTACAGAATCCAGAGACTGTTTGCTCTCAGCAGCACACGACCTGCAATACCAGATGGACACTGATCGTGTGGCAATGCGGGATCGTCTCACCCAGTTAGGGGAGTACGCTGATCGCAACAGCGCAGAGATGGTTAGTCAAGTTGTGAACATCGGCACGGAAGAGTTCCAGGCTATATCGGCGGAAAGAGATCGAGCCGTAACCGAAATCATGACTACAATCGCAGATGCTGAGAACGTCAAGGATCTGTGTAGACAGGAGTTAGTTGGACTACAAAGGCAGAGTGCCAGAAACAAACACGAATATGCTGAAGAGATGAAGATGAGGGAAGCAATGTATGCAAACAAGATCAAATGGTTATCAGAAGAGAATGAGGAGCTCAACAACCGATCTAATACTCAGGATAAGTTCATCTTGAGCATCAGAGAGCAATTGAAGAAGGCGAACGAGGAGTTGACTCAGACGAGGATTCAAGGATCCGATCGATCGTTTCAACCATCTAGCGCCGAACTCAAGAAGGCCGAAGCCAAGGTGAACATGTTGGAAGAGGACATTCTACGTAAAGAGAGGATGCTGAAACGTCTTCAGGAAGAATTGATCGAATCAAGCGCAAGTGAAGCACAATTGAAGGTCGCACTGAAGTTGAAACCACCAGACATGGGATCAGAACCCAGTGTGGAGAATGAGATGATGACCAAGCTTAGAGCGGAACTTGAACGTACTGAAAAGTTATTAAGGTCCGAGGAGAAAGAGGCAATTGAGTACTACGAAGGTATGATGCAGAACCAACAGGACATGATGGAATTCGAAGCGCATGCATCACGGCTCAGAGATGAGAGGAATAAGTACCGGAAGAGGTACGAAGAGGAGCGCACAAGTGCAGAGAATGCAGCCGCAACCGAACATGGTGCCGCTTCATCCTCTGGCTCAGGCGGCTCCAAGATATCTCGGAAGGAACACGAGAAGATCAACATCCCTGCATGGCCCAAGATACACGACCTGGAGGTTTGGAAATCCCAGGTTGTAGCGGCAGTCGTGACGGCATCGGGCGACGAGAAACAAGAAGACTGGATCCAATGGCTCTCGGATGCCTTCAGATCACCATATGACCCATTTCTACTCGAGACATCAGGCGAAGCAAGATTCGCTAGCATAGACGCTAAGCTAGGTATCACCCTACATACGATCATCCACGCAGCAGGTGAGAGATCTCATGACGTACAACTGAAGGTGAGGCAGATGATGCAGAGACGTGCGAGAGGCACAACTCCTGGAATGGTCAAGGGACGAGAAATGTTAGCGTTGATCGTCGATAGTTTCCGGAGTGCCGACAACGTTGATGTGATGTATGCATCCAAGCACTTATTCGATCTAAAGTTCCCTGGGGATAATCAACTATCCAGATTCCTTGGACAGTGGGATGAGATCATATCAGGTATGGATGCGGATGACATGCTTCCTGACAAAGCACTTCGCAACCTGCTTTGGGATAAGATTAAGGATTCCAAAGTTATGGCGTTAGACTTGTCTGTGTACGACAACATGTTGGATAAGGATCCGGATAAGACCTACCAGAAGTTACGAGAGATCATGACGAAGTGGATACGGAAATCAATTGAGACCACAAACAAGAAAGAAAGGGAAAAAGCTTTTGGGAACATCGTGAAAGCCACACCAGCGGCGGAGAAGAAGGACCCTAAAGCGAAACCCAAGAATACCAAGACCGATCCACCGAAACATGACGCCGCTCCAGTACTTCCTCAGGCTAATCCGAAGGACCACAACAAGAAGGACAAGAAGCAGGATCGTGGAAGATCAGCCACGAAGAGCCCAAAAGGGGATCGTGGCAGGTCAGCGACTCCAGCAGATACGTCCAAGATAGGATGCGCTTTCCACTTCCATGGGAAAAACGGATGTTCTAGAGGAGACAAATGCAAGTTTAGTCACCAAGAGAAGCACAAGAGTTCTGCTAAGAAACCAGAAAACCTCAAGGGTGACAGATCAAAGAGTCCCGGTGGCAGGAGCAGTAGCCCTAGGCCAATGAAGGATCAGGTCTGTTGGAATTGGCAGAAAGGATCGTGCAAGTTCGGGGACAAATGTCAACGTCAGCATCACGCTGCTCCTGCTACAAAACAAGAGGCTAGAGGCAAAGCCAAACCCAAACCGGCTGCGCCAGCCTTCATGCTTTGCGGAGACATCGAGAGTGATGACGAGGACGTACAACCCGCACTTCCCAACGTACAACAAGGTAAGCTGGCGCTTCGCTTTAAAGTCAGATTCGATGACCAGGCGAACGTGACCACGTTCACCTGCGATCCTGGTAACGAGTTAAACAACCGTCCCTCCAAGAAGAAGAAGAATGAGGTGCAGAAGGTGGATACCGAGCTCATTTCGTCGTTGAGAGCCCTCAGAGTGAGCAACATAGCTGCACGAGTAGCACATGCCAAAGGTAAGATGATGGAGCTATTCTATGCTGAACACATTGCCAAGGCATGGATACAAATCACTCGAGATGAAGGAATCGAGGTGAACGTCGACCTGTCTGATTTCAACACCAGAGAGGTAGTAAGGAAGGATTTTGTCGACTACACGATACCAGGAACCACGATGTTCATGGCTGTGGAGAGGTATGATGGACCACCAATACGCTTCATCATGGACACAGGATGTGGACACGATTTGATCTCAAGAGAGAAAGTCAATGCCATGGGCCTTGCCACCAAGGAAGGACCCAAATCCGTGAGCTTCATGACAGCGAATGGTGTAACTAGTACATCAGAGATGGTGGACATCAATGTGGACGAACTACCCATGAGGTCCGAGGCACACGTGTTGGAAAGCACACCATCAGTCTTTTCCATCGGGAAACGGTGCATGGAACAAGGGTACTCATTCATATGGCCGGCAAATCAATTGCCATACCTCATCGACCAGAACGCGAACAAGATTCCGCTATCGGTGCATGACAACATACCCTACATCAAGGTGAATGATGATGACGGGAGATGTTTACCAAGACCAGACGGCTTGGCTACGATACTTCATCGCATACTGTCAGGTGTGGGGCATGAAGACGAGGTCACAACAGGTCAGGAGACACAACAAGAGGAACTTCCGCCCAAGAAACCACGGAGACGGAGGAGAAAGAAGAAAGATAACCAGAGAGGTCAGGATGGTGAATCTGATATCAATCCAGCTGTTGCAGGCGTCGAAGGAGAACCAGAGGAACACGGTGATGACAGGTATTCTCCTGAAGAGGAATATGACGGGGAAGACCCGAGATTCGATCGTGATCACGAAGGTCAACCTGAAGAAGCCGGAGGCGACGAACATGGAGGTGATGCGGATTCTGAACGAGGGGAGAGTGACATTGATGAAGATGAAGAAGGACTATTGGAAGTCGATGTGGTTGACGGGGAAACCAGACTGTCAAAACCAGGAGTGCTGAAGAACGAGGCGAAATCCATATTGCACTTGATGACGCACCGATACAAGAACCCATACTGCAAGTCATGTGTGAGAGCAAAGATGAAGCACTACAAGACTAGCAAGGGAGCTTTCAAACGGAAATTGAAGGCATTCGGTGACCTTATCACTTTCGATCTCATGAACACTCAGAAGATGGCGAGAGATGGGATCATGCCGGATAAGGACATATTGGTGATTCGAGATCGGTTCACTGGTGTGATATGGGGTTATCCAT